TCTTATTCTCAAACTGACCGAGGAATAGGAACCTCCGGGTTTGCAAGAACGTGAACGTGATCAACTTTACGTGCTCAAGCAAAAGAAATGTCTAAGGCTGGAGGAATATCTCTCTCGTTTCCGTGAAGCTATTGTGCAAGTTACGGACATGGCGAGTTGGACAAGATCACTAACTTCACACGTAGACTTATGAGTCCTACGCGCGAAGAAGTTCAATACCGTCGCTGTAAAACCGTGTCACAAGCAATGAAAATTGCTTTAGAGTACGATCGATCTCATCATGTCCGCAGAAAGAACGTTAGTCCTCCGGTGTTCTTGCAGGACCGATCGCGTCCGCATACGAACGGAAACCAGCAACAACAATCTGCACATGCACACCCTCAGGAGAACAAACCCGAGCCAATGGAAATTGAATCAGGGAGTACCCGATACCGCCGTTCTTCTTCATCATCCTCTTCTTCCCGTAAGAAGTGTCGATACTGCAAGAAGCCTGGTCATGTCATTGAACAGAGCTTCAAGCTAAAGAACAAGGAGAAGTAAACTCGGCCGAACCACCATGAACAATCTGCTGCAAACTGCGATTCTTCTTCTCCTGTCGCAGCTGTCAAGGTGTCTACTTCAAATTCAGTCGCACCTGCAAGTGACGAAGAAAGAGTTGTTGAAGTGGAAGAAAATTTGACCTCTACTTTGCCGACCATGCATAGGGAAAACGAACTCATTCGTAGACAAGGGACTTGTGAAGGGAAACCTGCCGCCATTATGCTCGACAGTGGTGCCACATGCAATGTTGTTCGTCCAGGGCTAGCCAACAATATGTCTACCTCGGGAGTTTCACAAGTCACCCGTTTTGACGGAACTTCTTCGAGAGGTCGTTCTGTAAAGAAAGGTACCGCCACCATAGGCTTTAGTCGCTATCGGTTTCAGGTTATAAAATGGCCGTTGAGATCCGCACATGATGTCATCTTAGGAAAACCTTGGTCTACCAAGTTCCAAACTAACATCGATTGGCGATCGCATGAGATTTTCTTTCCGTCCATGCGTAATCCACCAACGCCACCCGTAATCTCCCAGGAAGCTCTGGAGATTGCTGCTATCGACTTTAAACGCAAAATCAAGAAGAAGGCTTACGACGAAGTGTAAAGAGTGAAGATTTGTGCTGTCACTCCGGTAAGTGATTCGGTTCCCATGCCAATCACCAAGTTGCTGGAAGAATTTACTGATATCTTTCCAGAAACGCTTTTGGATGAACTTCCACCTTCGCGTCGTGTTGACTTCAAACTGAACATGAAACCTGATGCTGTTTCAAGCAATCGTGGTCCGTTTCGCCTGTCCAAGGTGGAACAGGATGCACTCGACCTGTTTGTCGCGGGAAAGTTGAAGAAAGGCTGGATCGAAGTCTCTGATTCTCCGTGGGTACCCAATATCTATGGTATCCCAAAGAAAGATCCTACTTCAGGCCATCAATTATCTCGTTCTGAGTGAGTACGCTGTGAAAACGCAACATTTCCAATCCGTTGGGGCATTGACTATCGCTACGTGAACTTGCAGTCAATTGCTCCGAAGATTTCACTGCCTCGCATCGACAAACTTTTTGATTGAATGAGTGGTTGTGTCATCTTCTCTGTACTTGATCTAGCTCAAGAATATCACCAGATGCGTATCGCATTGCAAAGTCGCAAGTATACCGCCTTCCGAATTCACTCTGAAATTTATCAGTGGTGTGTCGCCCCATGGGATTGGCAGGTATGCCTGGCGTATGGTCTCGTCTTATGAGAGTACTTTTCGCTAAGTATAGCTTTATTGTTGTCTACCTCAATGTCTTTTTCGCCAGTGTGGAAGAAGATGTTGAGCATTTGCGTACGCTATTCGAAGCTCTCCGCCAAGAGAAACTGTTTTGTCATTTGTCCAAGTGTCATATCGGTCAAACTGAAGTCAAGTTCATTGAGCACAATATCTCGTCCAAAGGACTCACCGTTGACACCTCCAAAATAGAAGCTATTGCAAAATGGCCAACTCCTACGAACCAAAAGCAACTACAAAGCTTTTTGGGTCTTGCAGGCTACTACCGTCGTTTTATCCGTGACTACGCCGATCTAGCATTGCCACTTGGTCCACTTGTCAGAAAGAAAACATACCTGGGACTGGGGTCCCGAACTAACGAGTTCTTAAATTCAGACCGCTCTTCAAGAAGCTCCTGTGTTGAAGTTGCCTGACCACGAGAAACGCTTCGTTGTTACCACCGATTCCTCCGGGTATTGTGTGGGTGGCGTTCTCTCTCAAGTTCATTCTGGTCAAGATTATCCGATTGCTTTCTTCTCGAAGCAGTTGAGATATCATGAGGTCAACTGACCAACACATGAAAAAGAATTCCTTGCTATCAAGTTATCATTAGAGAAATGGCGTCATTACCTCTATGGTCGGGAATCTGACATTTATACGGACAATACCGCTTGCAAATGGATTTTGCACCACCCGAAAGTGTCGCCTAAACTGGCTCGCTTTCTGACGTTTTTTGCGTAATCACATTTAAGCTGCATCATGTTAAGGGTCAGTTGAATGTGGTTGCTGACGTGTTGTCTCGCCCACCTTCAGAGATGACGATGAGCAATGTAGCATTTCACCAATGCACATCGCGTTGCCAAAGTCGTGCTGCTCGAAACAGACGTCCAATTTCCTACGATTTCCGTACTGTGAATCGATCTATCGTTCCACTAACCTCTCTCGTCCAATTTCGAGGGGAGGAGGTTGCTGCGAATCTTGCAGAAGGATCTAATACGGAACAGTTCATTCGTTCAAATCCAAGCGTTGCTCATGCTTACCGAAAGGTGTCACTTATTCCGTCACGCACAGTTGCCGCTGTGAGTGAGGTTTTGCTCACCAATGTGACCCAGCAATCGCAACATTCGAGCTCGCTCGGTTGGTCTGATGAAATTCTTACGGAATTTACCACTGGATGCAAGGTCTGTCCAAATTATTGTGATCGCTTCAAGAATCCGAAAGAGCCTTTTGTCAAAAAAATTGGTTTGCTTTTCCGCAAGTCGCAGACGATGATGTGTTTGTGTGTTCCGCACACTCGGTACAACCGTCTTCTGACCTCCATCATTGAATTCTTTCATGACTCCAACATCGCCGCTCATCCTGGAGCTCATCGAACTTTCCTTCGCATAGTGCAATGGTATCATTGGCCCACTTTGGACCGAGATGTTCGAGATTACGTGCAAAGTTGTGACATTTGCACTCGCTGGAAACACAGCAATGCTCGCAAGAATGGTAAGATGATTTCTATTCCCATTCCTGAGGAATGTTGGTCTGTCGTATCTATGGACTTTGTAACGAGATTACGAGGCCCAAGGGTTATGATGCAATCATGACCATTGCTGACCAATTATCCAGACGCCCAACGTATTCTGCGTGCAATCGTACTGACGATGCTCGGGACGTTGCGCACCGACTTTTTTATTGCGTTGTTCGCCATCACGGATTACCATCGATCATCATCAGCGATCAAGATCCCAAGTTCATCTCCAAGTTTTGGTCATCTTTGGCAAAGCTATTGGGAGTTCGTCTCCACATGACAACCACCTATCGTGCTCAAGCCGATGGACAGACTGAACGCCAGAATCTGGTTCTAGAAGATGCTCTACGCTGCATGGTATCGTACCATGGACGTGATTGGTCATATCATCTAGGAACGATTGAATACGCTCATTCTACCCTTGTCAGCGTATCAACTGGTTTGTCGCCTTTTGAATTTGACACAGGACGTAAGGAACGAAACCCGCTGAATCCGTTGAACAATCCAAGCACCATGGCACAAGTGCATCATGGTTTCGCTGCATATGCAAAACATTTCCCAGATCGACGTCAAGAAATCATTGATATGGCTAAGAAACACCTTCTTCAAGCCCATGAACTTCAGAAGAAGTATTATGACAAGAAGAGATCGTCTATCACGTTCAAGAAGGAGACATGGTCATGTTGGATACACGTCGTATTCCATCCGCTCATGCTGCACACAAAGTTGAACCCTTCGAGATTTTGAAGATGGTCAATCCGAATGTTGCCAAGCTAAAACTTCCGCGAAGCATGAGACAATTGAACCCCACGTTTAATGTGGATACGCTGAGCGATTACGTTGAAAACCCATCACGGTTTAAGACTCGACCAATCCCCAAGGCCTCCAGACTG